CGAGGATGTCCACCCTCACTACTGCTGTTCAACATGGTACTAGGAGTTTGAACCATGGCAAAAAGTCAAGAAAAGGAAATGAAAAGCACACAGATCAGAAAGGAAGAAATAGACGTCCCTATATGCAGATGACATGATGGTCCACTTAGAAATCCCAAGGAACTTACGGAAAAACTCTCCTAGAACTGATAAGTGGATTCAGCAAGGTGGCGATGTATAAGATGAAGATACAAAAACTAATTTTTCTATATTCTACCAGTGAACACAGGGAAACTGAAGTTAAAAGTACAGTACCATTTACAATTGCTTTTTAAAAAATTACTTAGGTGAAAATCTAACAAAACATGCATCTGACTGGTATGCTGAAAACTACAAAGCACTAATGACAGAAATCAAAGACGAGCTTAATAGAAGGAGAGATATTCCATGTTCATGCGACTGGAAGGCTCGTCACAGGAAAGATGTCAATTCCACCCAAATTGATAAACAGGCTTAATGCGATTCCTATCAAAATCCTATCAAACTTTTTTTTTGTAGACAAGATTATTCTAAAATTTATATGGAAAGGCAAAGGAACTGAAATAGCTAAAACACTCTGGAAAAGAAGAATAAAGTGGGAAGAATCATTCTACCTGATTTCAAGACTTGCTGTGTAGCTACAGGAATCAAGACCGTGTGCTCTTGGCGGAGGGACAGAGACGGGGATTAAAGCCTCCAATAGAGGGCCCAGAAATAGGCCCACACAAGTGTGGCCAACTCATTTTTGCAAAAGCAATCCAATGGAGGAAGGCAACCTTTTCAACAAATGGTGCTGGAGCAATTAAATATCCATAGGCCAAAAAATCAACCTTGATCTAGATTTTATATGTACACAGAAACTAAATCAAAATGGATCGCAGACTTAAATGTTAAGGTAAAACTCTTAAACCTTTAGAAGAAAACATAACTCTTCAGGCTATAGGGCTTGGAGAAGAGTTCTTAGACACGGCACCAAAGTATAGTTCATAAAAGAAAAAATCAATAAATTGGGCTTCGTCAAAATTAAAAGTACTTGCTCTGTGAAAGACCCTGTGAAGGGGAAGAGAAGCCAAGCTACAGGCTGGGAGAAAATAGGCATAAACCACATATCTAACTAACAAAGGACTCATCTCTAGAATATATACAGAACTCTCAAACTGAACAGGTAAAAAACAAACAAACGAAATCCAATTAGAAAACAGGCCAAAGACATGTAGAGACATTTTCCTAAAAAGGATAAACTGGATGACAAATAAGCACATGAAAAGATGTTCAGCATTACTAACTATTAGAGAAATGCAAATTAAAACCACAGTGAGACATCACGACATATCAAATTGGGTAAGATAAAATTTAGTGATGATGGAATATTAGTTAGCCATAAAAAAGAAAGAAATCCTGTCATTTTCAACAACATGGATGGATCTTTAGGGCATTACGCTAAGTGAAATAAGTCAGACAGAGAAAGACAAATACTGTAGGATCTCACCTATATGTGGAATCTAAAAAAGCCAAACTCTTAGAAACAGAAGACTGGTGGTTGCCAGGGGTTGGGGAAAAGGGGAGATACTGATCAAAGGGTACAAATTTCTACTTATAAGATGAATAAGTTCTGAGGATGTAATGTACAGCATGGTGAGTATAGTTAACAATACTGTTTGTATACTTGAAAGTTGCTAAGAGAAGAGATCTTAAATGTTTTCACCACACACACACAATGGTGACTATGTGAGGTGATGGAGGTGTTAACTAATCTAATTGTGGTAATCATTTCACAATATAAATCAGTATCAGATCATCACATTGTACACTATAAACATACACAATGTTATATGTCAATTATATCTCAATAAAGCTGAAAAAAAAACCCAAATGCTGGTAAGGAAGTGGAGAAAATGATTCTCTGATGCATTGTGGTGGGAAAATAGATGGGTACAGCCACTCTGGAAAATAGTCTGGTAGTTTCTTAAAGAACTAAACATACACTTAACCATACAACCCAGAAATCTCCTCCTGTCCCAGGGAAGTGAAAGCTTATGTCCACACAAAAGCGTGTACACGAATGTTCATAGCAGCTTTATTTGGAATCGCCAAAAACTGGAAACAACTCAGGTCCCTCAACAGGTGAAGAGTTACACAAACCATGTTGGGTCCATGTTGTGGAATACTATACAGCAAGAAAAAGGACAAACTATTGATACACGTAACATGATGGATCTCAAGGGCATTATGCTGAGTGAAAAAATTCCAGTCTCTAAAGGACACATACTGTATGATCCTCCTTATGTAACATTCTCTAGACAAAATGATAGAGATGGAGAATAGGTTAGTGGTTGCCACTAACCTTGATTGTGGTAGTGGTGACGCAAATCTACATATGTGAAAACATGACATAGAACTACTGTGACATTGTGATTTAAAATAAGGCATATATATATTTGGTCCTTATCCCTTGCCCTGGCACAGAGCTCCTAAAACCCTTGGAATTTCCTGTGTTGAGAGGCATAAGGGTGTCTTTTGTTATGTTAGTGAAGTGACTTTCAGAAAGCACCTGAGGATGGGGGCTGGTTGCCAGGGAGGAACCATGTGATTAGAGGGTTGGAACTTTCATCCCACCACCTGACCTCTGCAGGAGGGGAGACGGGCTGGAGATTGAGTTCAATTGCCAATGGTCAATGATTTAATCAATCATGCCTAAGTAATGAAGCCTCCATAAAAACCCAAGACAGGGTGCAGAAAGCTTCCAGGCTGTGTGTGTGTGTGTGTGTGTCGGTGAACATGTGGAGACTAGCGGAGAGTGGCACGCTTGAAGAGGGCATGGAAGCTCTGCGCCCCTTCCCCATACCTTGCTCTATGCGTCTCTTCCATCTGCCTGTTCCTGAGTTGCATCCTTTCTGAGAAACTGGTAATCTAGCAAGTAGAATGTTTCTCTGAGTTCTGTGAGCCACTCTCGAAAGTTAATCAAACCCAAGGAGGGGATCTTGGAACCTTCCATCTGGTCGGTCAGAAGCACAGGTGACAACATGGACTTGCAGTTGGCACCTCAAGTGGGGGCAGGGCAGTCTCGTAGGACTGAGCCCGTCACCTGTGCGATCTGACGCCCTCTCCAGGTAGATAGTGTCAGAATTGACTTAAATTGTAGGACACCCAGCTGGTGTTGGAACATTGTGTAGGGTGGGGGAAAACCCACACGTTACAATTGGGTACAGATCATAACTACACACACACACACGTTATCAACGTCAGTCTCCTTGTTTTGCTATTGCACTGTGGTTACATAAAGATGAGGGAAATAATTGATGTTACAGTCAAACCGTAGAGCTCCATGAAGCAGCTTAAAAAAGAAGGCAGCTCCACATATCCTGATGAGAGATCTGGGCGCATACATCGAGTGGAAAAGCACATTGCAGCCCAACAACATGATTTCTTAAAAACCCACCCCCCCTACTCCCCCAAATTGGAAGGAAACACACCAATCAATCTAATTGTTAAAATGATTTAATGTGTTCAGACAACCCCAATTTCTGGGCTCCCCTGCCAGTGTCAGAGAGAATCCCTTCCATCCAGCTAGTGAGGAGACACAGGAGCTCTCTAGACCAGGAAAGTCTCTCTCCCTTCGAGTGGCTTCCATACATTAATGCTGTATTTTTGTCTATGGACCACACGCGTTGCCGTGGAGACGAAGGGAGTCCTTTTGCTTTAAAGCTCTTCTTCCTAAGCGGGGCCGTCACCTGTTACCAAGGATTTTCCATCTGTTGGTGAAGCAGCCGTGTGTGGGGCGGGAGACTCTGAAATACTAAAGATCCACCTCGGATTAGCTGATGTGGTGGAGAAAGAAGATGCTGGCCCGGCCAAGGCTGGCCTGCGTTCACACCTTGGCCAGCCACCCCTGGCTGTGTGATCTTGTGCCTGAGCCCTTTTCTGTACAGCTCCACCTCGTTACTTGAGATGACCTGACTTGCTGGTTACTGCCTGTGCACCCCCCAGAATGTCAGCTCCGTGAGACAGCGACCTCATCCGCCTGCCCCACGTCCCTGCCCTGGCATAGAAGTTGGAGGAGGAACGGCACCCGCAGACATGGATACAGCCACTCGGTTGCCCTCAGGAGAAGCCACAAGGCTCTGAGCCTTATCACTCACGTATAGACATCATTCTCGAGGATTCCCCGCTGACAGGGACAGCTGGGTCCACTCACCTCTGGTTTGGCTCTTCCTGTCTTGTTTCCAGTGATTGGAAATCTTTCTCTCTCCACTTCCCACCTATACGCATGTCTGTTCCAGAAGGTTCTGTCCCTCTGTTCCAGCACCCACTGTGCCCTCCTGTCTGTCAACAGCCCCACATCCTCTGAATACTTAAAGCAACAACAGGACAATGACAGCTAACATCTGACGAGCCAGCGCCGTCTAACTCCCCACATCTGCTGTGGTTTGGCCGAGAGCCCCTAGTGTCTGGCACTTCATGTGACGCTTTCCTCTGTTTCCATCTTATCTCCTCCTGGCAGCGAAGCCCCATCTCCCCCACAGATGGCCTGGCATCTCAAGTGACACAGGGATGAGCAGGGAACCCTCCCAACAACTTCCTGACCCTCCTTGAGGCCTTGTCCTGCTTTGGGAACTCAAGTTTGGCGGCCAGGCCCCGGGCTGTCCCCACCACGGTGGGGTGGACCCCTGGCCGCCCCTTCTGCCACCCACAGGAGTGACCTCAAAGCCCTGCTAGAGGGGCAGGAGCCCCCTGAGAGCCCAGCGGGCATGCGTCCACACGCCTGGAGCATTCTCATTCTTCTTCCAGCCTCGGGCTGCTCCCCTCTCACCCCCACGGCCCTCTGACCGCTGCCCTCACCCCAGTCTGGTTGTCCCCAGCTCCCCAGATCCCAGGAGAGGCCCCATTCTCCCCACCCCTCCTTAATGCCCTGATCCAGGTCAAAACCTCCTGCCCCCCAACACTGATGGGCCCGGGAAGGCTGTGTTCAGTTGGAGACCCACAGCAGCAGCCGGGAGCAGCCAGGTCTCCGCGGACAGGCTCGGGAAGACGCTCCCGTCCTCAGCCTGGGGGGGAGCGGGCAGGCACCGAGACTGTGGAGCGGCTACAAAAGACCTCTGCTTTATTCCTGTGACCGCTGGTCCTGGGTCTGCCCCGGGAATGCCAGGCTGTGCAGTGTCTTGCACAATCTCCCTTCCTAACAGCAAAGAGGGGAAGGTTTTGCACCCACTGACTTCCAGGCAGAACGTACGTTGGTTTCAAAATGCTGGGCCTGTCGCTGAGCCAGGTGGCGCTGGATCCGTCAGCCTGACTCAGGGACACGCCCCGAGTCATTTGAAGAAGGCGTGCCTTCCCTGCCAGCCTGGGGGACTTAAAAACGCAGGTCATATGGCCCTGACACCAGGGTTCCCACAGACCAAGGGCGCTTGTTGTTGGGGTGATAAGGGTTGACCTCTGTGCTCCTCACGCTCACGGGACGACTCATAGCCTCGTCCCCTGCATCTGCTTCCTGCGCAGGCAGGATGGAATCCACCTCCCTCGTTCCCACTCTCGCTGTCTGGACTCCTTCTCTTCCTGGGGCTGTTCCCCGTGGTGTCACCATGTCTGCGTGGTATGGGCACAATTTTTACACCTGAATGTGCACTCTTCGCCTTCGCCCATTTTCGTAGCGGCTGTCAATTACTGATGCAAAAGCAGATGGGCAGACTTGTCAGCGGGGAGAGTGGCTCTCAGAGCCAGGGACCTTTGGGATTAGGGGGTCACAGGGTGAGCCACATGGGACTAGCTCCTGGAAAATACAGGATGGAGATGCAGCAAAGGCCCGGTGCCAGAGTTCACACAGAGGGATGACCACGCACTCCACTATTAGGAGGCATGGCACCAAGGATTCCATTTAGTGATGGAGAAATCAAGTTTCCTTGTTGCCCTCTCCTTTGCAACTATGATTGTGAAATTCACATCTCTACCCAATTTACATTTTGACAGTGACCTCAGGGCTACTCCTCTGGGCCGTGGAATCGTGGTGGGCAGCGCAGGTGGGAGCAGTCGGGGTAGGTGGATGCCACCCTGACCTCTGATCTGGCATCAATTCTCACCCAGAAGTGTTTATTTTTTACTTCATTTTTATCATTACATTTATAATCCACAAATATATTTTCTTTTTGTTTTTTCAATATTTAGCAGCTTTATTGAGGTATAATTGACATACAGTAAACTGCAAATATTTAAAGAGGACCTGGGAGATATACACGTATCTCATGAAACTGGCCCCACAATCAAAGTGATGAACATATCTGTTACCCCCAAAACTTTTCTTTAATCACCCTCTCCTGGCCACCATGGACTGTTTCACACCTGCCCCTCCCCAACCAAAGACATGCCTTCTGTCACTATAGATTCGTTTGCATTTCCTAGAATTTTATATTAAATGAAATCATACAGGATTTTGTCTGGCTTCTTCACTCAGCATAACTTTGAGATTCATCCATGAGGTTACCATATTAATAGTCCATCCTTTTCATTGCTGAGTAATATTCCACTGTATGAAGGTACCACAATTTGCTTCTCAGTTCACCTGCTGATGGACACAGGGGTTGTTTCCAGCTTTGGCAATTGCAAACACAGCTGTGATGATCATTCATCTACAAATCTTTGCATGGACATATCCTTTCATTTCTCTGGGGTAAATACCTAGATGGGAAGAGCTAAATTATATTGTAGGTGTATGTTTAACTTTTTAAGAAACTGTCCAGCTGTTTTCTAAAGGGGTTGTACCATTTTACATGGCCATCAGCAGTGTATGAGCGTTCCAACTTCTCCACAACCTTGACAACACTCGTTATGCTCAGTCATTTTAATTTTAGCCTTCTAATAAGTGTGTAGGGGTACCTCATTGTGATTTTTAAAACTTATTTTATAATGATCATAAATTCATAGGAAGTTGCAAAGTTATTACAGAGACCTCCAGTATATCTTCCCCCAGCTACCCCCACGGTTACATCTTACGTAATGATAGTACGATAGCAAGGCCAGGAAACTGACATTGGTACAATGTGTGTGTGTGCTATCACATTCTAGATTTGTGTAACCACCATTGCAATTAAAACACAGAACTGTTCCATCACCACAAACATCTCCCTCCTGCGACCTCTTTATGGTGACACCCACCTCCCCACCACCATCCCTAAGCCCCGGGTACCACAAATCTGTTTTTTGTCTCTATAAGTTTGTCATTTCAAGAATGTTATGTAAATGGAATCATACAGTATGTGACCTTATAAGATTGGCTTTTTCCAGTCAGCATAATGCCCTTGAGAGCCATCCAAGTTGTTGTGTGTATCAGCAGTTCATTCCTTTTTATTGCTGAGTAGTATTCCAATGCAGGGATATACTGCGATTTTTTTTCTGTGGCGTTTGGCTGGAGTAGAACAGTTATTGTCTAATTTTTTTCTGTCTTGCTAGGTTGCCCCTTCCTGGTCCTTTGGCTAGGAAGAACAGGCTTTTCTTGGAGATTTTTTTGTCTGTACCCAGGCTACTGGCTTCTCCAGCACCAAGCTGGGGCTATATGAGGGCAAAAGAAGACCCAGAGAACTCACTTCCTTGGCTATCTGAGGTCCATAGCCAATCCACCATCTTCTCTCCTTTTCTCAGTCTTCTTCTGTTTGTTTTACATAAATACCCAGGATTTTAGCTGTACTTAGTGGGAGGAATAGTGAAAAAAGTACATCTACTCCATCTTTCTGGAAGCAGGAGTCTCTTTTCTATATCTTCTTTTTAAACACTTAATTTCCCCTTGATGCACCCTCCTCCTCCATTCTAATTCTTCCCCAGAGCTAATGATTTTTCTAGATTTAGTGTTTTTCTTTACAGACCTTTCCCCCGCTGTATTTACCTACACACATTTGTACATACAGAAATATATGGTTTTGCTTTCTATAAACAGTCAAATGCTAGAAATATTGTTCTGTAATTTGCTTTGTCCATTTAATATGTCTCAGGGATCTCTCCACGTCACTATACATCAATACACTACCATTTGTTTTAGCTGTTGTTAAAAAAGGAATTGTGTTCCATATTATAAATGAATGCAATTTATGCAATGAGTCTACTACTGAAGAATTTTAAGTTATTTATAAGTTTTTGCTATTATAAACAATGATGCTATTAATATCCTTATTCCTGCCTGTTTGAGCTTTTCTGGGGTAGACCCCTAGAAAAGGATTACTAGAATAATGAGTACACATATTTTAAATTTTACTTATTACTAACACTTGCCTTAACTCACTCCTTACTAACACTCTAACCACCAGTCCACACTCACCATAGTTAATGAGAATTCCTGTTCCAACATACTCATCAATGTTTGACATTATGAATCTTCATTTATTACAAGCCAGCGTGTGAAAAGTATTCTTATTTTGTCTTAGTTCCACATGACAAATTACTAGCGGGATTGAGATCTTTTAAAATATTTTTGGCCATTTATGTTTCTTCTTCTACGATTTTCCTGTTTGGATCCCACGCCCATTTCTTATAAAAAAATTTTTTTTGGCTTTTTCTTATTGACTGGTAAGTTGTTCCTCATATACCCTTGATATCATTCATTTGTTTTTTATAGTTGCAAATATTTCCTCCTAGCCTGTGACTCACTCTTTAACTCTGGGGTGTCTCTTAATTTAAACAAAGTTTATTTTAGAATAGTTTCAATTTACAGAAAAGTTGCAAAGACAGTGCAGAGAGCTCCTGTGTACCCCACACCCTCTCCTCCCTATTGTTAACATCTTCATTTACTCTGGTACATTCGTCACAACTAAACAACCAGCAGTGATAAATTGCTGGTAACTAAACTCTACACTTTACTTGGATTTCACCAGTTTTTACGTATTGTCCTTTTCTAGTCCCAGGATTCCATCCAGGATCCCACATGACGTTCAGTCATCCTGTCTCCTTAGGATCCCCTGGTCTGTGGCAGTTATTCAGACTTGCACTGTTTTTGATGACCTTGATAGTTTTGAGGAGTATTGGTCAGGTGTTTTGTACAATGCCCCTCGGTTTGGGTTTTTCTGATTTTTTTTTCATGATTAGACTTGTTATGGGTTTTGGGGAGGAAGACCACAAAGGTGAAGCGACCTGCTCAGCACATCATGTCAAGGGTGCACACTGTCTACATGACATCACTGAGGGTGCTAACCTTGACCATCTGCCTGAGGTAGTGTTTTCTGGGTTACCCCACTGTAAAGAAATTAAAGATCTAAATAAATGAAAAAACATTCCTTGTTCACGGACCAGAAGGCTTAATATTGTTAAGATGGCAATACTCCCCAAATTGAGCTACAGATTCAATGCAATCTCTATCAAAATCCCAGCTGGATAACGTTTTTCCCAGAAATTGACAAACTGATCCTAAAATTCATATGGAAATGTAAGAGATCTTGAGCAGCTAAAACAATCTTGAAAATGAAAAATAAAGTTGGAGAACTCACACTTGCCCATTTCAAACTTACTACCATGATCAAGGCAGTGTGGTACTGGCATAAGGGTAGACATATGGATCAACGGAATAGAATGCAGAATCCCAAACTAAGCGCTCATATTTATGGTCAATTGAATTTGTTTTTGGACAGAGATGCCAAAACAATTTAATGGGGAGAAGAACAATCTTTTCAACAAATGGTGCTGTGATAACTGGAAATGCACATGTGAAAGACAGAATTTTACCTCATATCTCACACCATATCCCAAAATTAACTCAAAGTGGATCATGGGCCTAAATGTAAGGGCTAAAACTATAAAACTCTTAGAAGAAAACAAAGAAATAAATCCTTGTGATCTTGGGCTAGGCAATGAGTTCTTTTTTTTTTTTTTTTTTAAAGATTTTATTTATTTATTTTTCCCCCCAAAGCCCCAGCAGATAGTTGTATGTCATAGCTGCACAACCCTCCAGCTGCTATATGTGGGACGCGGCCCCAGCATGGCCGGAGAAGCGGTGCGTCGGTGTGCGCCTGGGATCCGAACCCGGGCCGCCAGCAGCGGAGCGCGCGCACTTAACCGCTAAGCCACGGGGCTGGCCCTAGGCAACGAGTTCTTAAATAAGACCGTAAATGATAAGGGGAAGATAGATAAATTGGACTTCATTAAAACCAAAAGTTTTTGTGCTTCAAAGGACACCATCACGCAAGTGAAAAGCCAACCTCAGACTGGGAGAAAATAGTTACAAATCATATGTCTAAATGAGGGACTTGGATCCAGAAGACATGAGGAACTCTTTCTTTTTTTTGTGAGGAAGATCAGCCCTAAGCTAACATCTGTTGCCAATCCTCCTCTTTTTGCTGAGGAAGATTGGCCCTGAGCTAACATCTGTACCCATCTTCCTCTACTTTATATGGGACGCCACCACAGCATGGCTTGACAAGTGGTGCATCAGCGTGTGCCCAGAATTCGAACCTGTGAACTCTGGGTCGCTGAAGCGGAGCACTCGCACTTAACCGATACGCCACTGGGTTGGCCCCCAGAAGACATGAAGAACTCTTAAAACTCAATGATAAAAAGATAAATAGCTCAATTTAAAAATGGGCAAAGTATTTCAATGACCATTTCTCAAAA